TTGACTATATCCCATCCGAACTTAGAGAACATCTCAAGAACAAATTTGAAGCACTGAGCATTAATAACAGAAGACCAATCAGCTGTGGAGACGACACCAAGAGCCTCACACCCGAAGACAACAAAATGTGACTTAAAGACAGGCAAGCACGCAGTAAACCAAAGTGATGTCAGAGGAGATGCTGAGACTTGCTCTTGATTATAGAGTAGCTAAAGCAGGAAATGAAGAAAAAGAGCTGAACAGAAAACATCAAAGGGCAGCTCGAGAAGACAAAGTAAAGTATGTAATGAAAGGTGCAAAGACCTGGAGTTAGAAAATCAAAAGGGAAGAATAGGCCAGCATTTCTCAAACGGAAAGAATTGAGGGGAGGGGGAAATTCAAAAAGCCTCAAATTGAAGCACTCTATGAACAAAATGTTGAATCGTGCAGGAAGCAGCAAAAGAAGATGGAAGGACTACACTGTCGCAAAAAGAACTGGCCAACATTCAACCATTTCAAGACGAAGAGCCAATGGTATTGAAGGAGTACATGCAAGCATTGGCCAAGACGAGGGCTCCAGGAACTGATGGAATAACAATCGAAATGTTTCAGAAAACCGATGCGACCCTGGAAGTGCCTTTTGTGCTAAGAAATTTCAAACTGACCAACTGGCCAACTGCCCGGAAGACCCTTATTTGCACTCATTGCAAAGGAAAGCGACCCAAGAGAATGCAGAAATCATCTAATCATGTTAATATCACATGCAAGAAAATTTTGCTGAAGATAATTCAAAAATGGTTGGAGAATTCCAGAAATTCAAGCAGGATTCAGAAGGGGACATGGAGGGAAGGATATCATGGAGATGTCAGATGGATGTTGACTGAAAGCAGAGACCACCAGAAAGATGTGGGCTTGTGTTTTATGGACTACGCAAGGACACTCAATGACGTGGATCAGTACAAACTATGAATGCCATTGCAAAGAACAGCAATTCCAGAACACTGATTGTGCTCATGTGGAACCTGTACACAGACCAACAGGCAGCCATTTGACCAGAACAAGGGGACACTGCAGGGTTTACATTCAGAAAGGGTGTGCAACGCGGTGGTATCCTGTCACTGTTTTTACTCAATCGGCACGCTGAGCAAATAATCCAAGAGACTGGACTCCATGAAGAAACATGCAGCATCAGGGTTAGAGAAATGGCCATGAACGACCAGCCGAGGCCACCGCCTTGCTGGCTGAAATTGAGGAGGACTTGAAGCACTTGCTGAGGAAGGCCAAGGACTGCAGCCTCTAGTGTGGATTACCACTCAATGGAAAGAGACTAGCAATCCTCCTGACGGGCTCAATGGACAACATCATGATAGATGGAGAACAGATCGAAGTTAAGGATTTCACTTTTCTTGCATCCACAATGAATGTTCATGGAAGCAGTAATCAAAGAAATCAAGCAACATATTGCCTTGGGAATATCTGATGCACAAGACCTCGTTAAAGAGCATTTAAGGACTAAGGTGAGCCTGACCCAAGCCATGGTATTTTAATCGCCTCCTACATATGTAAAAACTGGACAGTGAATATGGAAGACGGAAGGGGAATGGATGCACTTGAATTATGGGTGTGGCGAAAAAAGAATCAAAATACCAAGAACTGCCAAAAGAACAAATAAATCTGTCTTGGAAGACGTACAGCCAGAATGCTCCTTAGAAACAAGGATGATAAGACTCTGTCTCATAAGGACACTGTGTTAGATAAAGTCGCAGTTCAGAGAAAAATGAGGAAGACCCTGGATGCCATGGATTGACACAGTCGCCTCAACAATGGGCTCCAAGGTGACAATTGTGAGGGTGGCGCAGGACCCGGTTGTGTTTTGTTCTGTTGTACAGACGGTTGTGCGGAGGAGCAATAACAACAACACGTCCTGTACCTATTGACCCGAGCCCTATCTCCTAGGGCGACACCACATAGCTTTCTACTTTTTCTGCTTACTTTACTAGAATTTATACTGTTGTGTTTTATTTAACGTTGTGGTGCAGTGAGTTTCTGGATGTGGCCTTTAGTCTCAGTTCTTTGGAAAAACCGTCTCGGAAAATTTTCTCCCCAACCCTGAGGGGTTGGCCCTTGCCTTCATTTTCTCCTCCAGAGGCTTGCCACTTTTGTCTGGGTTGACTGAGATTTCCTGGTAAGCTGTAAACAAGGATTGTTTGATATGCACAACTGCACCAATAGGTAACATCATGATGAATGGGGAAAAGGTTGACGTGGTCAAGGATTTTGTCTCGCTTGGATCAGCATTCAACGCTCATGGAAGCGGCAGTCGAGAGATCAAAAGACGCATTGCATTAGGTAACTCTACTGCCTAAGACCTTTTAAAGCAGTGGTTCTCAACCTGTGAGTTGCAACCCCTTTGGGGGTCGAACGACCCTTTCACAGGGGTCACCCTACTCAAAACAATAGCAAAATTACAGTTATGAAGTAGCACCGAAACTCACAACATGAGGAACTGTACTATAGGGTTGCAGCATTAGGAAGGTTGAGAACCACTGTTTTAAAGTGTTGAAAAGCAAAGATGTTACTTTGAGAACTAAAGTGGGCCTGGCCCAAGCCATGGTATTTTCAACCCCCTCATATGCATGTGAAAGTGGACAGTGCATAAGATAAACCCAAGCAGAAGTGGTGCATTTGAGTTGTGGTGCTGGAGAAGACTATTGGAAGTAGCATGGGCTGCTAAAGGACAAACCAATCTGTTGGAAGAAGTATGGCCAGCATGCTCCTTAGAGGCAAGGATGGTGAGACGTCCTCTTACATACTCTGGGCATATGGTCAGGAGAGACCAGTCCCTGGAGAAAGACATCATGCTTAGTAATGTAGAGGGGCAGCAAAAAAGAGGAAGGCTCTCAACAAGACGGGTTGATACTGTGACTGCCACCAAGGACTTAAGCTTGGGAACAATTGTGTGGCCGGCACAGGACCGGCAGTGATTTGTTCTGTTGTGTCCAGGGTTGTTGTGGGTCAGAACAGGCTTGATGGCACCGAGCAACAATAGCAACCACAAATTGTTAGGGAAGACCTGTCTGGGAGTTCAATTCATCTCCTGGTGGTATTTCCATGATAGCGAACTAAGACAGTTTCCTTGTGAGTTTGGGGTGAGGAGCTCCTCATCAGGGGAGCGTGCGTAACCGGGGTTGATGAGGAACTGCTCCAAACGTGAGTTGAAGGTGTTCTGCAAATCACGACAGCCCATCATCTGGCATTGCTCATTATACTAACTTTTGCTCTGGGTTCCTAGTTCATGTGAAGAGTCGTTGGATGGCACAAGCACGTAGCCCCCCTCAGCTGCTAGCCAAAAGGTCGGAGGTTCCAGCCCACCCAGAGGCACCTGAAAACTCAGCCATGGAACGTCTACCCTGACGGCCAGGTTCACCACGAGCCAACACCAACCTGACGGCAACTGATCCAATTAGTTCATGTGCAGTGCAAGAAAAAAAAAAAGATCCCATTTAAATATAGCTTTCATTCAACTGTTGTTTGTCTCTGCCCACTGGGATGTCCGTCCTAGGGAAGGAAGAATTGTCTTTGTCTGATTTTGGTTCTGTGCCCAGTCCTGAGCGCGCCCCTGGGGATGCAGTGAGCAATCCATGACTGGGTTCACAATAGGCACTCTCTTGCTGAAAGTGAGGCTAGAACAATACCCACTCCCACGTCATAGAGTGTGCTGTGAGACAGAAATGGGGCGCCGTGGACATACCGTGTTTGGCTGCAGGTAGCAGGGAGCTCGATGAAAAATGAGGTTTATTGTCTCACAGAACCAAAAGCCTGCCCGTAATTCCCTGACTCGGTGACTTTCCAATTTCCAGCGTCTCTGCAGTTTTCTTGGCCTTTGTCTTCGGCTTGTGAGATCATTACTGTAGCTCCGGGCATCATGGCTGCAAACCTGGCCAGAGAAAGTAGGAGCCGAGGAAGAGCAATAGTGGCATTTACTTCTTATCAGGAAGGTAAAGGTGTTTCTAGGAGCCTACGAGCAAATTCGGCGTTGACTAGAAATGGGTCACCTGGACACCCCAGAAAGGACCTGCAAACTGAGCATTTCCTTTTATCTGGACTCCAAAGGAGGAGCCCCGGTGGTGTAGCGGTTGCACATTGGGTTGTTAACTATAAGATCAACGGTTTGAAACCACCAACTGCTCTGTGGGAGAGGGATGAGGCTGTGTAGCCCTGTAAAGCGTTATACTCTTGGAAATCCACAGGGCCAGTGCTACTCTGCCCTATGGGGCCGCCCTGAGTGGGAATACACTCAATGACCGTGAGTTTGTTTTTGAGAGATTCAATAGGTGGAATCCCTGAGGTGGCACCAACAGATATGAGCTGGGCTACTCAGCTACAGGTGTGTGGATCTAACCCACTCCTGGGTGCCTCGGAAGTAAGGCCTGGTGATCTGTTTTGGAGAGACCACAGGCTTGAAAACCCTGTGGGGCAGTTCCACTCTGCACCCACGGGGTCGCTACGCTTTGACAGCAGGAGACTCCCCAGACAGGGGAATGTGTGAGGAGGGGAATTGAGGAGCCAGGACGTATATTAGCCCCAAATGAGCTATCTGTACACAGGTAGCACTTTGCAAAGCAAGTCCTGGCGGGGGCTGTGGGGCACCCCTATTTCCATAATCCTAATTCTAATGATCATTTAATATTTCACAGCCTCTGTGGTCCTACTGGCATCAAATCTTCTTGACTTCTAGAACCCGCTGGCACTGAGACAAGCCCCTACCCTCAGCGTTCTCCCTCCCTCCTTGCTCCATGCTCTGATCTAGTGCTGAAGAAGCCCTTCAGGGTTTTTTTTTTTTTAAAAGCAACTACGTTTTCCAATGTTAGTGAGCCACTGCCTGCTCTCATTAGCTCCATCCTCAGGGATTTAGCCCAGTCCTGCTCTCAGCCGACCGGAGGTGAGGGGCTATAGAAGTCAGAGGTCTATTGGGCCCACGCCCAGGTCAGCAGCACAAGGTCTTTCCCAAGGTCGCAGAGATGGAAAGAGCAGATGAGCCAGCTGAGAATCTCAGGCAGACCCTGGAGTGGCTGAGAAAGGAACTGGTAAGGCTCCATATTTTTCTCTACCTGTAGTCCCTACCTCGTACTTTTCTGGGCTCCCTGGCCCCCCTCCCTAAGGTGGACACTTGGCTGGGGCAGAGGCTGCAGGCTGGGGTGTGGGCCCTGCAGGCAGCCCTCTGAGACCAGCCACGTGGCACATTGATGATTTCAGGTGCTGGATAAATAGGTCATGACCTACTTAGGAGGCACCAGGCTTGCCAGACCGGTTTGGGGATTACATTGAGTTCTTGGGTATTTGCCCAGCTCTGCTGCTTTGTGGCATCCCATGGGGCTTCGCTGCGCTGAGTCTCGGCTCTCTTATAAGGCGGGGATAACAGAAGTACCAACATCGTCGGGGGCATTAGAAGTATGTAGTGAACACAATTACTTAATATACGTCACGAGTATCCATGTGGACTATTCCATCCTGGCCCTGGCAGACACGGAATCTACCTGCTGCTTAGCCCAGGTCCTCTCGAATGCCGATGCGCAGACTAGGATTTGAGTGCCTGGATGGTGTGAATGGTGAACATGCTCGGCTGCCAGCTGAAATGTTGGCAGTGGGCATTCACCGGGAGCCCTCACCCTCGTGAACATGACTTTGTAGTGGGAAGCAAAGGACAGATCCAATCCTGGGGAGAGGCACGTGCCAGGAAGGACAGGGAGCAGGATGACGGAACAGGCACCTGGAGGGACAGGGCCGGAGCCCCAAAGAGGAGCAGAGGCCTGACCTAATCTGAGGGAGCCCCACGGACATTCGGAGAAACAGCAAGTCTTGCAAAGGGAGCAGCACATGCAAAGGTCCTGACCCCAGAGTGGTTCTCAACCTTCCTGAGGCCGCGACCCTTTCATACAGTTCCTCATGTGGTGGTGACCCCCAACCATAACATTATTTTCATTGCTACTTAATCGCTGTTATTTTGCCACTGTTGTGAATCGTCATGTAAATATCTGATAGGCAGGATGTGTTTTCATTGTTACAAGTTGAACATCATGAAAGCACAGCGAGGAAATGCATCTACCCAGCTGGCTCCTGTCTTCCACTTCCTGTTGGTTGAAGAGCTGCCTGGGGAGCCTGTGAAGTTCAGCGCTGCGCTGAACCAGCAAGCCCCAACCCCATGTGGTTTGTTTAGGGCCCAGAGATAAGATGAGCTCACACACACATATGCTCACAGCAGCAAAGAGGGAAAGACACAGTTTCTTTACAGCATAGAGTCGCTTCAAAAGAACTGAAGCCGGTTCCTCTCTGGAGTTGAGAAGGAGCCGTCTTAAGCATAGATAAGACACAGCTTTGTTCCCGGCTACGCAGGTCCCCCTCTCGAAGTGAGAAAGGGACGTTGCCTAGGGAACACTCCTAGTTCTGATTTGGCACTTTCAAATGGGGGGCGGTTGCCACTCTGCAGATGGTCAAGCGTCTTTCTAGTGAGTGACTCCGTTTGCCCATGGGTCTCAGATGTGGTTTCTTCTAGCCGACCTGAGCCAGCAAGTCTCAGAATTATCTTCCAGTACTATCCGGTGTCAGAATGTTTCTAGGCCTGGCTTCAAGGTGAAGGTCTTGGCCAAGCCAGGCCTCACAGCATCCTTGGCTCATCACTTGGTTCACGGGGTCCTTTGTTCATTCCCTTAGCAGGCAGGGCAGAGGCCCCTGTTCTGTCCCTGTTGGAGTGCTTCTCCTGGACTTCCGTGTTAAGACATTGTTAGGCTCGGGAAGCCAAGCTCCGGGGCCTCTTTTGGTGGGGTCTATTCAAGTCTAGAGGTGAGGGGAGTGTCCCAAAGGACATGGTGCACCGGCCAAGAGGGTGGCGATGCCCAGAGGCAACCTTTCACTCTGCAGCGGGACAGACAGAACTGAGGGGAAGGATGTTACCCTGGAGGCTCCTTCTGGGTTGCCAGGTAACAGGCTTGCGGGGAGCCCTTGCTCTCTTCACCCCGCAGTTCAGCTGACCTAACAGGGCTTCCCATTGAACCAAGGGGATTCCTGCCTCCAGTACAGGGACTGCAGCTGCGCATGGTCCTCGGGTGTCCAGAAGCCGGGCAGCTGACCATCCCACATGCCTGTAAGCAGCAGGCACCTAAGCTGAAGCTAATGTTTCCCCACTGACTCAGCACCTTCCTCTCACACCTCAAAGAGGGACAGAAAGATAGGCCGCTGAGAGGGGACAGGGAGCGATCAGAAGGACAGCGGACATCTCCCTCCACATGATGCTAAGAGAGGGAACCTTGTGTCTCCCCTTGCTGACCCCGGGCTGTCCCAATCAAATTTGGTGTGGTAGTCTGGGTAGACTAGAGAAACAAACCTAGGGAGACTCATTTGTGTATAAAAAAGAGATTTATATACAAGAGCAATTGAATATTGAGAAAACCTCCCAAACCAAGTCCATAAGTTCGATATTGGCCCATATGTCCAATACCAATCTATAAAGTCCTCTTCAGACTCATGCAACACATGCAATGACACTGAATGCAGGAAGATCACAGGCCAGTGGATGAGTGGTCTTGTGGATCCAATGGTATTGCAAGCATCTCTGCGCTGCCAGGGGTCTTCACGTGGTTCCTTCAGCTCTATAACTCAGACTGCCTCAGGGTAGCTTCATGTGGCTTCTCCCCAAAAATGTCTCACAGAGAGTGAGCAGAGAGAGTGTCTCCTGCCTCCAGGGAGGAATACCGGATTTCCCAGAATCCTCAGGAGAAGGCCACGCCCACACAGAGGCCTCATTGGCTATCACCTGATTGACAGGCTAGACTTCACCCCTTCCCTCTTAATCCTCAAACTGACTAATGATTGTATAACTACCACACTTGGTTCAACCCCTATCACGTGGAATGATGCCTGGCTCCATTGCCCATCAGGGAAGGGGAGGACCCCCCACTGGATGTCACTCATTTCCACCAGCAGGAGGAAGTCAGTGGCCACACCAGAATTCTGTCTTCTCCCTACTTCCCGGTATCTGCTGGCCCCCCATTCCTGGCTGGGTCCAAGAGAGAGCAGAGGGCTGCAGTGATCACAGATGAAGCAGCCTGGTGACCCTTGGCAGGAGGACAAGCTAAGTGTTGGACTTTGCCCAGAGCCCATCCATCTCAGGCCCTCGGGCCTGTGAGATGAGACTCTTCCAAAGTCCTGAGGACTCTCGGAACGCTCTCGTTTGTGTGAGTCACGCTCCATCCTGACTGAATGAGCCATCGGTGCTGAGAAATTGTAAATCTCTAACAGGAATGCATTTAAAATCAGGATAACAAACTCATTCCAAAACAAAACCCACTGCCATCAAGTTGATGCCAACCCCTAGCAACCCTCTTGAGGGTCTCTGAGATGGTCAAATTTCCCAGGGGCAGACAGCCTCGTCTTTCTCCTGAGGTGTGGCTGGAGTGTTTGAACACCGAGCTTGAAGGGAACCGTCCAGCTCTACACGCTGATAAAATTGGGGTGTTTTTTTTCCTTTTAAAAAATACCTATATTGTTTGACATGGTTGAAAATCTCTTTAATGGCCCCCTTAACAGAAGCCACCTGGAATCTCCTAACTGCCTTTGCCCTCAAGCTGGTAGGCTATCGTGCCATGTGGCTTCTGAACAGAGTTCTACTGCAGACGCATCTGAAAATGGAGCCGAAAGGGTACATAACCTCTTCATACTGTTATGAAAATAGTTTTGACCTGATGAAACCTCTGAAAGGGTTTTTAGGACCTCAGGGGTCCCCAGAGGAGCCCTGGTGGCACAGTGGTTCATTGGCAGTGAACCAAAAGGCTGGCAGTTCAAACCCACCAGCCACTGTACGAGAGAAAGATGGACCAGTCTTGCTTGCATAACGATTTATCGCCTTGGAAACTCTGAGAGCCAGTCCTACTCTGTCCAAGAGGGTTGCTCTGAATGGAAATCAGTTCCATGGCAATGGGTTTGGGGTTTGTTTTGTTTGTTTGTTCAAGGGCCACCGAGCCACATGTTGAGAACCACTGTCCTACAGGGTTCCCATTTGCCCCCTGGTGTGCTCCACTTCAGGTCACCTTCTCAGGAATCGTTGAGTTGAGAACAGAATGAAACATTGCTCATCACCAACTTGTCAGGTTGTCGCCCGACGGTAGCTCGCGTGCTGCCCCGAGGCTGGGAGCTATGCCATCGGTGTTTGGGATACTGGTAGGGTCAACCAGGGTGGACAGGTTGCAGCCTAGGGAGAAAGGCTGCTAGTCTATTTTTGAAAATTAGCCGATGAAAAACTTGGTGGATCACAACAGATCCTTCCAGCAACTTAATACCGATTTTTAAAAAAAATCTTGTTTGTGATAGCAAAGATGAAAGGATATAATGGTGTTGTAAACTCAGATAAGAAGTTGCATGAAACAGTCACAATAGAGATACTCATATACACTTGGTTGCTCAACAGATCACATGGTAGAAAATGTGTCCCAAGGGTTCATTTTGGTTCCGTTCTCCTAAGAACCCAAGGGGCCCTGGTGGTACTGGGGGCTAGGTATTTGGAGCCCTAACCCCAAGGTTGGCCGTTCAAACCTACCAGCCGCTCCAAGGGAGAGGTTGAGGCTGTCTGCTCCCATAAAGATGTACAGTCTGATAAACTACACAGGATGGCAATGAGTGGGGGTGGACTTGATGGCAGTGGGTGTGTGGGTTGACTCAGGAGAGCCTTGCAAGGTAGGTGGTCTCCTTGGCACTTGGCAGATGAAGAAGCCGAGGCTTTGGCGGGCATGACTCCTCCGGAGAGTGTGCCAGGCACCATGGGGCATCGGATGGGGCAGCGGTGGGAGTGTGCTTGGTGGGGAACTTACCGTGCTCTATACCCCCTGAAGGAGCCCTGGTGGTGTAGTGGTTAGGCATTGTGCCCCAAACTGGTTTCAACAGTTTGAAACCACCTGCTGCTGGGGGTGGGGGGTGGGGGTTCTACTCCTGTAAAGAATTCCAGTGTCAGGAACTGTCAGAGGCAGCTCTGCTCTGTCCTCCAGACTCGCTGTGTCTCTGCATGGATGCGATGCCAGTGGGTTTGTTTGTCTGTCTGTCTGTCTTTATACCCCCTAATGGCCTTGTGCTCTCTCTCAGTCTGAGATGCAGGTTCAAGACCAGAGACTCCTGCTCACGCTGAGGCATCTGCATAGTGTCCTGGAGGAGCTGCGCGCGGCGAGTGCCCACTGGGAGGACGCCAGGTCCAGTGGCGCGCCCTCTCCCATCAGGGCTCGAGCAGGCTCTGAAGGCAGGAGCCACCAGCCTCCATCCTTGGGGGGGCTGGCCCAGCTCCTTCGAGGAGAAGAGAGCAGGCGCAGCTCCCTCCCTTAATTGGCGTGGATGACACTGGCCTTAAACCCTCCTTCCCGTCATCTAGACTGGTACTATAGGGGGAGTCGGAAGGCCAGGGCTCTGGGATCTACTCTGTCCTCATCCACCAGGTGTCCCTAGCAATGTTACTCCACCCCTGCATTCTGTCACTTCTCAGGGGGGTTTCAGATGAGGCACAAATACAACATTGGGTGTGAATGTGCTTTGAAAACACAAGCATGATGGCTTTGGGTAAGCACCGTAGAAGTGACCCTCTCCTTGGAGATTTCTCCCAGGGTGATGATTAAAACAAAGCAAGAACCTGAAGTGTGAAAAGAGGTGTTGTGGTCATTTAAACCCTGTGTAGAAGTGACTTGGTGGCTATTTTCTGTCTTCCCACCAACCTTCTCAGTCTCCTTTATGTGATAACAACAGACCTTGGCACCACCTTGGCACCAAACCTAGCCCATTTCAGTTCATGGTCTTCACCTCATATGATCAGACCTGGCCGATTATGATTTATGCTCACCTTAACAACATGATTGGCCCAACAGCTGAGCAGGTGACTCAACAGAGCCAATCACAATGCTTCCCTGGAATTATTCTCTGGATGTTCCTTCTACTGCTATTGCAAAGTGCGGGTGCCAGTGGCCATGTGAAGGGGACGTGGACAAGACTCATCTTCAAAGTGTAGTTGAGCGAGGTCTGAACGAGAAATGGCCAGGGAGGAAGAGTCCTGGCTCACTCTGCTCTCTGACCTCATGTCCTAGTTCCGTGAGTGAATTCTGCATTCTTTCCAGATACTAAAGACAGTGAATGAAACCAGACTTGCTGGTCAGATAGAGACTGGTGGGACCCCCAAGATTATGACCCTTACCCTTCAGCTCTGGAACCGAACTCACCCTGATGACTCAATTTTACAGCTAACCAATAACCAGGTGTATAAGAGGAACAATGACACTGGTGAGGCACCCACACCTTAGAACAATAGACTATCTGAGATCAAAAGGGCAACTCTGACCCAAAGACAAAGTTCAAGGGGTTCGGAAAAACAGAGGAATGGCAACAGGAAACATGAGGAGCAAGTCGGATGAGAGATGTTACACTGAGGGGATCACAATGCATGAGATGAAACAAAATGCGTTTTCTAATTGTTGGATGTAAAACGGATTCTGTTCTGTACCCTCTCACTCAGTTCACAATAAAAGAGTAAAAAATGGAAAAGCATGAAATCCACCCTTCTACCTTGTTAGTCTCCAAATTGACAACTTTATAACGAATTAACAAGTTTCACATTAAACTCCCTCATTTCACATCACTGGCATGGTTCTTTCTCCTGACTGTCTCAAATCACACATTTGTGCCTTGGGGTTTGGTTTGTGTTGGTGTTGTTGTTTTGTTTTTTTGGGGGGGGGGGCAGCGAGATGTATTATTACCAATGCTCTGTCATCTTTTTGTTCATGTCTCCTGATGAACTAGTTCAAGAGTTTCTCTGGAGTACATACACCATCTAAGAGTGGAATTAGAAGAAGGCAGGCTGGTGTTCATGTTTATGAAGTGAGTCATCCCTTCCCACTCCCCCAGCAATGTCCCCCTTGCTCTGAATTCTCACCACCCCTTGCTCTTATCCCTTATCCATCGTTTTCTACTTGTCAACATCATCGGTGAGAAATGATAGCTTATTGTGATCTTAAGTTGCACATTCCTAATCATAAATTGTGGTTGTTAACCAGAGTTTAATTCCAGCTCCATTCTTGAGTGACTTTTTAGTCTTAGTTAAGAAAATACCCTCAATTACCTTATCAGTCAAAAAAAGATAATAATAGTACCTGTCTTGTAGGGTGGTTATGTTGAGTAAATGAGATAATGCACACAAGCTGATGTACACTGCAGCTGGGATTGGAAAGGACCATCAAGAGCTTACTATTGCAGTGTGACTTATGAAACTATAAGTATTACAAGAGTGCTAGCAACAACCATCTAGAGAGATAGCTGCCTACTCCCAGAAAGTAGAGATAAGCCAAAGCCAACCACCGATCCGCTCTGCCATTCCCAGCTTCCCAGAGTGGGGTCACCGGACCAGTCGTGCACTAATGCACCAACCTGGGAAGATAGTCCTAGAGCTCCTGAGCCTGCCCCTCTGGCAGGCTATGCGTTGTTCCCCAGGACCCTATATCTGGAACCCATGTTCAGGTACTGGTCCCAGGTCAGAGCAAGCCCAGCCTGAGCTCAGACACTAGGGCTCAGGGATCAGCGTGAGATGGCATTGGAGGCTTCCATTCCTAGAGGGCTGGGTTGGAAATCACACTCAACCAAGGCCACCAGTGAGCACCAGAGGGAGCAGGTGGGCCATGATCTTAAAAAGGGAAACCCAAGGAACTATATGTGACCTCCTCCCTGGGGGACGGACAACAGAAAAGTAGGTGAAGGGAGACGTCGGACAGGGCAAGATATGACAAAATAATAATCTATAAATGATCAAGGGCTCATGAGGGAGGGGGGAGCGGGGAGGGAGGAGAAAAAATGAGGACCTGATGCTGGGGGCTTAAGTGGAGAACAAATTCTTTGAGAAGGATGAGGGCAATGAATGTACAAATGTGCTTTACACAATTGATGTATGTATGGTGATCAGAGTTGTATGAGCCACTAATAAAACGATTTTTAAAAAAGGGACAGCCAGTGCTTTCAGTGCTAAGGCAGCAAGGACAGACAGGACTGCACGCCCAAGTCCCATATCCAAGGAGTGGGGGGGGGGGGAGCACAGTGGGACAGAGGGTTCATGAGGTCAGGCGCGAAAGGGAGTGGGAGCAGAGAGAGCAGCTCAGGGTGCACCGGGGCAGGCAGTTCATCCCTCTTTAGGTGGTGCCAGCTTCCCATTCCTGGGCCAGCTATTTCTATGTCGGTGTGTACAAACTACCCCCAAACTTAAAACAACCACCACACTTTATCATTCGAATGGCATCTAGTATTGTTGTAAGTCCTGTTTCCTGCAGTTCTGAGGGTTGACTGGGATCAACCGGGTGGTTCTCGCTGTGAGCAGCTCAAGTGATGGCAATCAGACGGTGGCCGGAGCTCAGTGCCTCTCAAAGGTGTCTCCATCACATATCTGACAGTTGGCGCTGCCTGTTTCCTGGGACCTTAGCTGCACCATCAGCTGGAAGACCTACATGTGGCCTGGGCTTCATTACAGCAGTGACTGGGTTCCTAGAACAAGAGATTGAAGAGCAAGCCAGAGGAAGTGGGGCAGCCTTTTATGACTTGGCATTGGAAGTCACATAGTGTGTCTTCCACTGTATTTTACGGATGACGAGCAAGTCATCAAAGCCAGCTCATATTCAAGGGCAAGGGTTTTAGACTGTCTGCTTCTCGATGGGAGGCGTGGTCCTCAGTAGCCACGGCATATATTCAAACTGCCTGCCCTGACCCTCTCTAGACACGATGTCTTGAATCGTAGTCTCTGCTCCTACCCTTTTCCCTCCTGATCCCCTGAACCCTTTGCCCGCTGTGTGCCTCGCCCTTGGATGGGAGCCTTGGGTGTGCAGTCCTGTTCTTGTTGCCTTAACAGCCAAGGTCCTCAGTGTCCTTTTTGAGCCCATGGTCCGCATGCTCCTTTGGCTGCTCACTGGCTATCCTGGATGAACACAATTGGCAGACACGTCTTAAAGCCACCACATCATATGAAGAGGGAGTCCTTGAGTGGTGCGCACAGGTAAGTGCTTGACTGCTAGCTAGAAGGTTGGTGGTTCAAGCCCATTCGGAAGTGCCTCGGGTCTCCTGCGGAGGATCACAGCCTCGAAAGCCCAGCAGAACCATGAGACTACACACATGGAACCGCCGTGCCACGCGTCAGAAACTACTCCGGGGCCTCTAGCAACCACAACCATGTGAGGCTGAGGGTCTACACTTCTTTGGTGCAGGGGGAATGGATTGCAATACTGAATTTTCTATGGGCGTAAAAGCAGATGAAAGTAAGCCAAGTGCCACGATGGTTAAGGGCCATCGAGTCCGTTCTGACCCACAGCAACCCCCACAAAGGCTGACACACCGCCCGCCCGATCCTGTGCCGTCCTCACAAGCATGCCCGTGCTCAAGCCCTCTGCTGCAGCCACGGTGTCCCTCCATCTCCTCAGGCCTTCTCCTTTGTGCTGCTTTGCCCAACACGGAGTCCTTCTCCAGGGACGGGTCTCTCCTGACACAACCTCCAGCCAAGGAAACATGCCCATGATCCTGAGCCCAGAAGGCTTTCAGTTTTCCAGAGACCGTTTCTCATGCCATGAGGAGAAATGCTCCTGACGTTAAAAAGGAATAAAGCAAGATGCAGTACCATTCTGTAGCATGAGCTCAGCTATGAGCTAACTTTATCTATTTATACATTGGGAGGAAAAGACAGGAAGAAAATGCACCGACATCTCACTGTAGGATAACAAGAGGCTGATCTTCCCACCTTACTGAAAATGTCCAAGATGTTATTATTTATAAATCAGAAAAATTACCCTCAGTTATTCAGCAACGTCCTACCTACCAGTGAGTTACTAAGAAAGTACTGAGTCAGGAAGGCGGCTCTGAGGTCTGTCTCTAGCTGACCTGTGTCTCCTCAATATAAAACAATGGCCAAGAACACAATATTCTGGCCTCAAGACGACTGAGGTCTATTGATGTTGGAAGCTTGAGTGAGTCCTGGCCTCCAAAACCCTCAGCAGCTAATACTTCCTCCTGCACAGAGATCGTCAGCCACTCATCCACCCTGGTACTGCCACCCTAGCTGCCATCCAAGTGAAGGGTCCGCTAAGTCTACACAGAAGGAGCGCACCGGCCCATGTGACCCAAGGACTGTAAATAATAAAATTAGAGAAGGGAATCGTAGGAGGACTTAAGTTCTAAGCACCTGCTTTTCAGAAGGCTTGGAATGACAGTGGAAACCCAGAATCCATTTGCAGTGTCTCCACAGGATTCGACCATTGAGTCAGGAGGCGAACAGTTTCACCCTCAGACAGAGTGCATGGGAAACCGTGTTACTACAG